ACTGCCCTCCCCTGATATTGTCTCACCTCTGTGATACCCAGCCCCACAGAGATAGTATTTCTTATATAATTTATGACCCTCAGGGCCCAGCAGAGAGAACAAAGGGGAAAATCCCACTGCTCTCCCCACAACATTTCTCACCTCCATGTCATGTGATGTCATTTATAGCACACATGGCTTATCAGGGGAAAGCATTAAAGCAGAGTAGTTAATACCGTCCCTTTTTACATCAAAGAATCTTAACTCTGGACAGCTACACACTAGTATACTAGCTCCAAATTAGGTGCCTACTACTAGACTGTAGGCCCTATGTAGACCTGCAATTGTATCAATTGTAGACTGGGTCCATTGTTATTATTCTAAACCATCTCACTTATAATGTTTGTAGCTTGATTTGTGTCTTTTATAAACAGTGGATTTAAAAAAAATTAGCCTAATCATTAACCAAATAATAATAATGTGGTTGGCTGGTATCATCTAGATTCTACTACTAGGATACATAAACTTAGTAGACAAATTACTAGATATGCATTTGAATTTAATTAAACTCAGTCCAGTATCAGACACATATTACTGTAAAAAGACGCAAAGGAGGTAGGCCTTAGTAATTTATTAAAGCCGTCTACTACAATAATATCAAATACATGCTTGTATAAACTTTTAATAAATTTAAGTAGCAGATTCTAGATCTAAGTCTAGTCATACAATCTATTTCAATTTCAGATAATTTCGTTTGCTAAAAAAAAAGATTAGATTATAGAGCTACAATTTAGATTTAGAGACACTTAAATACTTTATTATTTTGATTACTTTTGATTTATTATGGGTGTATTTTGAATCGAATGTAGATCTAAATTTTGTAATTAAATTTAACTAAATAAGTAGATTCTAGATTCTATGTCTACCCAGCGGAGCTAATCACCCTAAATCTAGAATCTAGATATGTGGTCCGAATTTTGTTTACGCCATGTTTAGAGCTGGATTCTAGATCTCAATATTAAATCAATATTCTATTATTACAATTAAATCAATTTATTCTCATTATTACTTTTGACTTTGACTTTTACTACTAGTATTTGTGAAGGTCGAGCATATTTGTCTTATTAACAGTTTTCTTTTATAATTAAAATGAAGTTTATTATTTTACTGTCCTTACCCGAAACAAAGTATCGAGAACAGATTCGCATGTTATTTGCCGCTGCTTCACTCACACCGCGGCGATAAATATTGGCTAAATATTGACGGCGTCTACTATCTGTTAACTGTCGATCTATATCATCTCGGTTTAATATAACCCTTTGCAGTCGAAATAAAGGAATCCCTTTAGATCTGCCACTTCGAGTATCACAACCTTTCACAACTCAGATCACCATTTTGAATGTAGATCTGTACACCGCGATGGCGGATGTTTACATACACGAACGGACGTGACGTCATGTGCAAGGACTCTATTGGTAAATTTAATCATCATTTCCCATTCGTGCACAAGACACATGGGGCAGATGAAGAAGAGTTCCTCTGCGTCATAGATCTCAACATATGATGGATTAGCGTAATCAGCACTATGCCCACCCGCCTTTGTTTCCCGAACCCATTAGGAACGTTCCAATTTGAACCAGGATTCGAACTTGAGACTCTCAAGATTTCAGTCTAGCTGTCTACAGCCGTCCCCTTCTGCTCACTTTACGGTAGTAAAAACGATTAGATGAAGATGAAAATTTAATATTGAGTTTTCTATAGTTTAGTACAAAAATGAACTTTAAATATTACACAATGGTGATAAGTCGAGTTTCGACAATGCTCATATATATATATATATATATATATATATATATATATATATATATATATATATATATATATATATATATATATATATATATATATATATAATCAAAGCATGTGAGGATGGATGGTTTGGCAAAGACTGTAAGCTCCAGTGCCACTGTACAAACAACAAATGTACAGACGACGGTACCTGCATCAATGGGTCAAGGTGTGACGGTGAATGGTTTGGTCCTGCTTGTCAGTATCGTAAGTTTGAGTTTTCTTATTAAACTTAATTATTACCTTTTCCGGACTGTCGCACACACGCTTACATACTATTGTGCTATATTATATTCAGCTTAAAATTTATTTTTTGTTTTCTTATAATATTGTTCTTTTTAAATTCCCATTAAGATGCGTTTTCCTTTTACAATTGATTAGTAATGTCAGAAAAAAAAATATGCCTGATCTGAGTTAGAGGGTGGTTTGTAGCAAGCGCTAATTTGTTTAGACGAGTCTTTTATGATTTATTTTTGGAACGATCTCAGTTGTGATATGGTACATAGTTAGATTATAAGTTTATTAGAATAAGGTCATACAAGTGACTTACAAGAGCAAGTTATCAGAAACATTTATTGTTCGCATTGGAATACGACATGGGTATTTCGTTGACTGGTCGGTGGTATAACGAAACACGCTAGAGGAAACAAACTGGAATCCAACGGATGTTAACAGCTCGAAGTCTTGGATTTCGCAGATGTGCGCTATCTTCTCGTCCACAGTCAACAACAAGTGCAGAAAGAGTTGTACTGATTGACGAAGCAGTAATAACTATATTAATGATAGTGGCACCACACATAACGTTCTGTTTGTAATAATCAGCAACTATAAAACGCGTTTGAACACACTCTAAAACAATGTGGAATTCAAGTGCATTGTCAAAAAAAAATCATTCAGGATGTATAGCTAAATGTGAAGTGTCTTTTACTGTATGGCTCTGAGCTAGATTACAGACAGTGAAGAATGAAATAAGAGCACGGAAAAAGTGGTGGTTAGGGCACAATAGCAGTAAATATCATCAATAAGCCGGTGATGAAGAGGACAAAAATGCCTGAAGAAAATTGTTTGCTTTAAAGAAGTGGAGACTGGATTATTAGGGTGAGTTGACGAAGTGTTGCCTACGCCTATGCTCCCTAGGAAACCGAAACATAAAAAGAAGAAAATCAAAAGAGCTTAGAGCAATGGTTCTTAACTTAATTTTATTTCTCCCCCTTGCCACCTCACCACCTGAAAGGAGAAAGGCTATATATATATATATATATATATATATATATATATATATATATATATATATATATATATATATATATGTATACATGCTGAAAAAATTTGAAACCCTCCCCCACATGAAACGATCCTTGCTACGCCACTGCGAGGAAGTAAAAACATGAAGCACACTTGTTACTTTCTCGTATATACGAAGTATAGAGAAAGTATAGAGAAATCGAGATTTTTACAAATCTCGACGTTTTACACCTCACTGATACGGAAAAACATAATTTTGCAATCTTGTCCGTATGTCTGTGTGTCTGTGTGTGTGTCTGTCTGTCTGTGTGTAAACACGATAACTTGAGTACCGTTACAGCTAGATTGATGAATTTTCATATATACGTATTTTATTGAAATTGTAGATCCGTATCAACTTTTGAGCGATTTCCGATAACCGGAAGTGGTACTTTTCCTACTTTGAATTTTTCAAAAGCCTATAACTTGGGTACTATTTCAGATAGATAAATGAAATTTCACAAGTAAGTAAAAAATCTAATTCTCTACCTTCTGTTAAATTTTGAGTAATTTCCGTTGACTGGAAGTAGTACTTTACGCTACTTCCAATTTTTTAAAAAAACTAATGTAAATTTTAAAAGTACTAATAATATTGCGCACTATTATGCATTTTTTTATTTGGCGTTCACTTGGTGTGCAATTAATTTGTCTACGAGATTTTATTCTATTTTTAAAACTTTAAGTATTTAAAATGGATTAAAATCATGTCTATAGCCCGAGTTCCCATCCTCTGTTATTTTATATAAGAATATTCGAGAAAGTTTAGGGGAGATCACTCCCGGTTTATTAAGAATAAGAACTCATGAAAAGTAATTTTTATTATTAAATTTCCCGACAGCAGCGTATTTTTTGCCTGAAAAAAAGCAACTCTTTATTTTTTCTTCTTTAAAACTAAGAAATTATCTTTCTTCGATAAATAAATAGTTACTTAAAATATATATCAGTGTGTAGGGCATTTAATTACGATTAATTTTTATCAATAATGTGTGGGTTTAAATTAATGGGTAAAAACATATGGGTCGTTTAGCCGCAGTGGTAGTGAAAAAAAATAATTCCGGTAAAACGTGAAAATAATTACTGGCTTAAATAGTTAATAAATGATACAAGGCGTCGCTATTCGCGGTTAGCTTTTATCCCTTTCACTAGATTAGGAAAACTTTAGTTTTTCTCTGTCAATAATAATAATTTTTCGCTCCATATAAAGTGTTAGTCACCTACATGTACCATTGGTCTTAGCTCTAATTGTTGCCTTTTTTGAAAATTTCCTTAAGAAATAGAGAAATACGTTATTTATTGTTTTAACTCTTTTATTTTTCAATAAATCTCAAAAGAGAAAATATATCTTTATTTGCCTTTGGTGTGCCATCAACTGATCCACAAAGTATCATTGGGCAAAACCTAATATTTTTTTCTACGTATGGGCTGTATAAGGCGGTGAACAGCTGCGCTCATTTCTAAAGATGGCAGAAACCGATCTTTCGTCCAAGTTATCTCGTAGCGCATTCTATGTCGGTGCCTCATTCCGTTTGCTAACTGAGCCAAAATAAATAGACAGAAAGATTTAGAAAACCTAAATCGTATATTTATAGATTTCCAACACACATAACCAAATAGTGTGACCTACTTAGGTCTGTTTTGTTTTATGTAAATTTAATCTCCTGAGCTATGTATTTGTCCTTGGGAGAATTGTCAGTTCACTGGTACAACCCGGTCAACTGAACGCTGTCACATCAGGTGATTGTAAGTTTAATCCCTGGCAGAACCTCAACCAATGGTCTTGCGACCATGAGAATCCTTGACTGACCCTCAATCAATAGTTGTAAGACTTTTGAGTTATTTCCCCTTACTCTGAGTTGTATTTAATCACGGGATTCTCAAGTTCAGAGGCCGCCAGATTGACCTAGGGACCAGGAGAGGTGTGCCTGTGGTTAGGTACGCCATTTTGCAGTATTGTTATTTTGTGACATGATTTCACCTTTTGTATAAGGAATTATGTGACTAGTTGTAGTTTACTGAATTTGTGTTCTGGTGTAGTATTACACCTTTTTGACTATCGGTGATAGTTTAACCTGTATACGGATTTCTATTGTTGTAGAGGCAAATTGTCTCTCCTTGGTCTTTTGTTGTAATTATTATGAGGCCAATTCAGTTGTGTGTAGTAATGATTTATCACAGCTGTGATGTATTGTGATTTTTCTCAAACTGTAAGTTGGAGTTGAGTTTATTTATATTACACTGAGAATCTGTACATTTTGATCTTACCTAGTGTCATTATCTTGTACATAAATTAAAAAGGTATTCATAGTTTAAGTCGTGTGAGTCTCTTCGATTTGTCGTGTTTTACCCCTAGACTGCATTAACGAGCTCACGGCAAGTTGTTGAGATTCCGTTACAACGTCTTCTATCGGTACCATACCAAACGAACCTGGGGCGTCCGCTTCCTCCGCGGCTGTCGGAGGTCGGACATAACAAGTGAGGGCTCGACCGGTATTTTGATTTGTGTGCAAGTTTGGCACTAGTTTGAGTTTGTGATCAAGAGTTTGGTCAGTAGTTCGAAGAAGTTGAACTAGTTCTTGAGTAGTTGTTTTTGTTATCAGTTGAAAGTAAACATTGTTACTTGTTAGCTATGGAGGCTTTGTTGTTAAGTCCTACTGTGGAAGCAGTTGAGAACTTAAGTAGGAAAGAGTTGATAACAGTTGTCAAAAAGTTAAACCTGGACTATATTGTTACTCAGACCTCTAGGGTGTTGAAGGACAAAGTTATTGTTTACTTCATTAATGAAGGCATGCTAGATGAGGGTCTTCTTTCTGAAGTTTTGGCACGGGAAGTGGAAATTGTTGATAGGGAGTTTGAGGCCAGACTAAAGTTAGAAAGAGAAGTTCAGATGAAGCGGTTAGAATATGAGTTTGGTATTATTGGCAGTAGTTCAAAGTCAGAAGGTCCTTCTCAGTTGTCTGTGGCCCAAACATTGGCCCAGTTTTGCAAATTAGTCCCTAAGTTTGAGGAGTCAGATCTTGTCGTATTTTTTAATACATTTGAGAACATGGCTGAAAGTTGTCAATGGCCTAGTAACGTAGTCACAACGTTACTAAGCACTGTTTTAATTGGTAAGGCTGCCACCACATACCAGGCACTCTCTCGCGAAGTCCAATCAGATTACAAAAAGGTCAAGGCTGCCATTCTGAAGGCTTACGAAATAACTCCAGAAGCCTACAGAATTAAGTTCAGAAAAATTAGGAAACAACAGAACCAAACCTATGTTGAGTTCCTTTTTGAAAAAGAAAAAGTCTTTTCAAGATGGCTCCATTCTGAGAATGTCAACGACTTCGACAAACTCAGAAGTCTGATACTAAGAGAAGATTTCCTCAACGCAGTACCTGAAGAGATCAGACTACACATCTTGGATAACCGAATAACAGACATCAAAAGGGCAGCAGAATCAGCTGATACATACGAGCTGGTGCATAAGAAGTCACAGGGTTCTGGTACCAAATACAATCCAGTACTACCTCTCATCAGCAACAATCCCTCTGCTGGCCAGTTGCTGAGATCTCGTCAATCAACACAGATACCCAGAGTCACAGCCAGGCGACTGATCTGCCACTATTGTTCCAAGCCTGGGCACATCATCAAGAACTGTTTCCTGCGACAGCGAGATAACAGAGAGTATATACGAACATCTCGTAACGCTCTCCCCCATCAAGCAAGTCCAAAGGTGAACCTCGCCCGTCGTGATGACCCTACACCAGCGTGTCCACAGGGAGGTAATGAAGTGCCCACCTCTTTCGTCCAGTCATCTTATGACTATCCTCTTCACCAACCGGTTACATCAGCAGCAACCAATTGTGAAGAATCGAGAACTGTTGGCTTCACATCATTCATGACAGATGCTGTCATCAGCAACCCTGGAGACCCAACATCATCGCGGAACATCGTAGTCCTAAGAGACACTGGGGCTTCTCAGTCACTTTTGCTGAGAGACTCATTGAACATCGCTCCAGAAACCAACACCGGTGATGTCACCATCATTCAAGGAGTGGGAGCTGAACCAACAGTAGTTCCACTACATAAGTTCAACTTGAGACATCAGCTCATCCAAGGAGATGTTATCCTTGGGGTGATAGATTCCATACCTGTCCCAGGAGTACACCTGCTTCTAGGGAATGACCTAGCGGGAAGCAAAGTCCACCCCCAGGAAGTTCAGAACCCGTTCTCTACAGACCCCGACGGTGAAAATGAACTGTTCTTTTGGCCGAGAATGCACAACGATGACACCCGTTATTGCAGACATTGTAAGAACTGTCAGTTGGTTGGGAATCCCAGTCAAAATATTTCCCAAGGCCGATGAGACCGATTCGTGTGCTAGACGAAGCATTTAACAAGATTACCAAGGACTGCGCCACCTCTTCCCAGACCGGAGAAAGAAACAACTGGTTTATCTTGTAAACTCACTATCTCTTTCTCCACAGCTAAGTTTATGTTACATATAAGTATTTCTAGTAAATTTGATGATGCTACTCTTAAATTGTTAAAGGCCCCAAAATTGTTAAATACTAAATTTTTGGCCCATTTAGAAGACCATCTTGAACATTTATCTTCTAATGAGAATCAGACATTCTCACAGGTAGTTTAAACTTTACCCTCCATGCTTAGGGATGGCAGATTACTATAGGCGGTTTTGTAAAAACTTTTCAGCTGTAGCTGAACCACTTACGGCCTTATTGAAAAAGGGTGTTGAGTTTGAATGGTCAACTAAATGTCATGAAGCCTTTTTGACCATTAAGTCATTTTTATCTAATGCTCCTGTTATGGCTGCACCAGATTTCAGCAAGCCTTTTAAACTTGCCATTGATGCTAGCAATTTAGCCATTGGCTCAGTCTTATTCCAGGAAGACGACCGAGGGATCGACCATCCAATAGCCTTTTTCTCTAGAAAGTTAAATGAGAATCAAAAGAATTATTCCACTATTGAAAAAGAAGCTTTAGCTTTGGTTTTGTCCTTACAACATTTTGAAGTCTATGTCACCTCTTCCATCAATCCAGTCATGGTATTTTCTGACCATGATCCTCTTAAGTTCACCACTAAGTTGGGACAGAATAACAATAGAATTTTAAGATGGTGTCTATTTTTCCAAAATTTTAATCTGGTTATTTCCCATATTAAAGGAACTGACAACATTGTAGCTGACTGTTTGTCAAGAATGTAAAACAACTTTTGATGTTCACCTTGATCTTGTGAATTTTTTTTGGTTAGTTATAACCATTTTGCAAATATTTGTTATGGTTGATTAAACTGTAGCCTGGTGGCTGGAGTTCCAAGCTTTCAATTAGATCAGGATTGTACGTTTTGTACGAAACTGATAACTTGTTGAAAATGCCTGTTATTTTCAAATGAACCTTATTTAAAGGTGGTTTTGTATAATGTGCATTGAGTTGTTATAAAAATGTACCACATTATTCAGTTGATGTTGTAGTGGGACATTTAAATAAAGGAATTAAGTTGTAAGTTTCCCACATATTATATCCAGATGGATATGTTTTGTTTCCTTTGCATGAGGAACTTTGATGTATTATTATTTTGGGAAGGATTGTTTCCCTTTGGTAAATTGTAAAAAGGTGAATTGTTTCCCTTTAATTCTTAAGGATGTTTTTTCCTGACATAGAAATTTTGTTACTATAATTGGACATTTTTTGTGTCAGATTTGTTCCATGTAGTGATTGCCATTTTTGTGTAACAAAAATGCCTCTCTAAAAGGGAGGGGATGTGACCTACTTAGGTCTGTTTTGCTTTATGTAAATTTAATCTCCTGAGCTATGTATTTGTCCTTGGGAGAATTGTCAACCAATGGTCTTGCGACCATGAGAATCCTTGACTGACCCTCAATCAATAGTCGTAAGACTTTTGAGTTATTTCCCCTTACTCTGAGTTGTATTTAATCACGGGATTCTCAAGTTCAGAGGCCGCCAGATTGACCTAGGGACCAGGAGAGGTGTGCCTGTGGTTAGGTACGCCATTTTGCAGTATTGTTATTTTGTGACATGATTTCACCTTTTGTATAAGGAATTATGTGACTAGTTGTAGTTTACTGAATTTGTGTTCTGGTGTAGTATTACACCTTTTTGACTATCGGTGATAGTTTAACCTGTATAAGGATTTCTATTGTTGTAGAGGCAAATTGTCTCTCCTTGGTCTTTTGTTGTAATTATTATGAGGCCAATTCAGTTGTGTGTAGTAATGATTTATCACAGCTGTGATGTATTGTGATTTTTCTCAAACTGTAAGTTGGAGTTGAGTTTATTTATATTACACTGAGAATCTGTACATTTTGATCTTACCTAGTGTCATTATCTTGTACATAAATTAAAAAGGTATTCATAGTTTAAGTCGTGTGAGTCTCTTCGATTTGTCGTGTTTTACCCCTAGACTGCATTAACGAGCTCACGGCAAGTTGTTGAGATTCCGTTACAACGTCTTCTATCGGTACCATACCAAACGAACCTGGGGCGTCCGCTTCCTCCGCGGCTGTCGGAGGTCGGACATAACAATAGTAAAATGTAATGATTAAATGTCAAGTAAATAATATTTGTTTTCCAGAAAATTTAGCGAAGATGTATACAGTCAAATCACCTCGTGAAGGCCTATCGTGTAATGCTTTAATGGATGGTAACACAATTAAAGTCTCCTGGAACATTTCCTATCCTTTCACCTTCCTCTGGGTACAATTCAATCAGGATAGTAAGTATTGAACTAGTCTTATGACGTCAGTGATCTAAATCGTTATCTGCTAAAGTTTGAAAGTGACGTCCAGTTTCTATACTAGATATGTAATAATACCATACATTTTTCACAATATGCATTGCAATAAGTAATGTATTACTGCAGAATTCAAAATCAAAACATTAGTAAATACCAAACAAAGCGGAGGTGCGGTAATTTATTATTCATAAAGTGTTTTTCTAAATTAAATGTTTGCGGTTTAAAGAAATGTTATATTTTTTTTTAAATCATCATTTATGTTTCTGGTATTTTGTTTTATATTTAATATCTATAATTAAAGTTGGGATTGTATGTATAACGTTTTACAAATCAGCCAACCAGTTTCACTAGCAACAATTGCTTATAAAACTGGGAAATGAAGGGCTAATTTTATAATTTGTTAAATTATCCTGATATTGAGCCTAGTTACATAAAGTAAGTGCAACATGTGCTCAGCTTAAATATGCTAAAGCTACAATGGATTTTTTATTCCCTTTGTTATTATACAAACAACGCTCTACCTTGAAAATTGTTGATCAGAAGGTTCTAATTAATGTATTATGACACCTAGAATAATGTTTTATTTCATCAAAATATTGTGAAATAATATTGCATTTTCCAAATTGACTGTAAATTTTGTTTCAGTAAAATATCCCATGTCAAACATGAACATCATCATAATTGACGGAAACTCTACGTGTGACTCTATTTACCAATTTGCTATCAGCCAGGACACGATTGAGTTCAGATGTCGGACAACAATAACTATGACACGTCTTGTTTTAAAAGGGGGAAATGTAAAGAAAGTCTGCAATGTTTATATCAGTGGAGGTAACTTGAACGTTTTAGCATGACATCATTTCATTTGTTAATTGTGTACATGAAATCGCTTCTGTCATAATAAATTATGAAATCGGATTCATAAAATACATTATAGGAAGAAACGTTGCTGTTAAACAATCTGCAAGTCAAGACAGTACGGATACTGACTATGGTGGAAGTTCTAACGCTTCTAATGCTGTAGATGGAAACAGAAATAGAGACTGGCACAAGGGTTCCTGTATGCATACAAAGGAAAAGACTGGAGGTCTGCCACATTACTGGACAGTAAACTTTAGTGGCGAAGAATACCGTGTCAACAGATATGTTTTGTACAGTCGATGGGATAATAATCGTGAGTATTTCCTTTTTGAACATAATTCCATAGATTCATAGCATGCTTATGTTTTTTGTGTTTAGACCACACAAGCTTTTTTCTTCGTTGTGGACCGATATATATGGAGTGTGACGTTTTCCCTGAATGTACACTTGCCTGAATACGACAAATGCCCGAATGGACACTTGCCTGAATACGACAAATGCCCGAATAGACACTTGCCCGAATGAGAAAAATGCCCGAATAGACACTTGCCCAAATGCGACAAATGCCCGAATACCCGTGAAATCGGTCGTCGGGCAAACGGCATTCGGGCAAGTGTCTTTCGGGAATTTGTCGTAGACCCGACAAAAGCATTCGTCCTGCTTAATATCAACACATCATTTCGCACAGGCGACAATTCGAACAGTCCTATTTCTGTGGTCATTTATTTTAGTAGTTTATAGTCGTGTACCACCTTTCTCTTTTTCCTTTTTGATGGAATAAATGTTGGTAATTATAGGCTACTTGTTCAACTGGCCGATACTTCAGTGGTTGTATAAGCCACGATGGGAATACACCACAAAATCCATTTGAAAAGCTATGTTAGTCTTAATGATTTGATAACTGTGCCGAGAACCACCACCCCACCCCTAGAAACAAGGAGATAAATAACTTTCTAAGTATTGGCCGCAAAGTGTATAGCTCGTCTTGTGAACCGTTGTGGATCTGTACGCATCTTGACGCAAATAAATTAAAGCAGATCTCAATTCGCCTCAATAAAGATGACTAGTTCAGCAATGGTCGGGCCGTCTCTCTATTTGTTCGGTCTGTATTATAATTAGTGTTGTCCCTATGTCCAAGTCGCCATAATGTAAACAGAAAATGTATGTGTATTCGTTAGTGCACTCCCTAGTGTTTCAGAATAAGAGGGGAATTACAGTATAGAGAGGAGCCAACAAGTCAAACCTAGGCGACGAAATTAACCCTAAAATGTATTAACAACAACTTAGAATGTGTTAACGTAAGACAAGATGGTCGACGGTACGGGCTTACTGAAATTTTAGGACTTATACATTCACAACGTCTGAGGAAATGACACAGTGTTATAACATACAGAAATTAGACACACTTGTTTAAACAACAGAATTAAATATTATAAATGAATAATTTCTCTCAAAACGTAAATTATAATACTGAAGAAAAGTACTGTGGTATTTTTAAAAATCAGAAACAGCTGCACTTGTAACTGATGTTGCTCTCAAAACATTAAAACAGCGTTACAATATATCTTTGCTATGGGTTACATTCGCTAACATCTGCAAAAGTGTTTCTTCCAGTTTCTTCTCGAGGGAAGGGGGCAGTAGATATTTTCATGGGGGAGGGACAATAATAACAGTATATGTTTTCTATATAAATACCATTTCTTTCGGTGGAGGTGGGCGGCAGACCTCCC